CGCGTTCACACTGGAATAAGTCCCTGAGGGAGAATTAGGCAAATGAAGCCGCTGACGTCACTTCTTCTTCTTCTGCTTTGGTTTTACTGGCAGGCCGCAAACAACTTCACGGCGTATACTGCCACCCGAAGTCCCCAGCTGGAAGTCCCCGGAATTGGGGACTGGCTTCAGAAGAAGCTGCCGCTCCCATGTTTTCTTTTGTGTTACCATAAGTTAGTCCCTCTCCGTGGGTGTTTCTCAATCGCGAGTAAAGCTGCTCCAGAACCACTATTTCAAGCATACTACGTCATCGAGTGCCGCCGAAGGACTGTTCCAATGTCCAGCATACTTGGAAATCTACCGAGCCCGGCATACTCCGTTTGGAGAAATTTCGAGGCTGCACATGTGTAGACTCCGGTCTTAAAATCCCCACAATGCTTTGCGCACGGACCAATTTCCCCAAATCTGTGGCGGAAAATGTAAGGCGGGGCCTTATATGAAGCACACCTTTTGGTGTGAACGCACATTTTCGGAACCATATCGGAACTATACTGGGAAAAGTACTCCGGTGTGAAAGCACCTATTATTACAATTAAAATAAAGGGCGGTGCCGGCCTTCAGCGAACCGAGGCGGCCGTCAACAGCCCACTGACGACCGGCCATTCTGCGATTCTCCCGAACACACAGATGGCCAGTCCGCCCCTGCCAGGACCAGTCCATGAAATTCCTAGCTTCAAATAATCGTGGTCATACTTCCTCCGTTTTCTGCCAGACGCTGTCTCCTCTCTCACTTTAGGTAACTTTACTAAAAATCGATCCATGTTGTCGCTCGCATAAGGTCAGCTGAAGTTAACTAGCTAGATTTCACTGTTTCTAGTTATTTTTTCACGATGCGCATCCCCTGAAGCTCTCTGGCGCCCCCCTGGGGAGGCGCGCCTCACACTTTGAAAACCGCTGATATAAGCAATAGAATACTTAGAGTGAAAGAGAAGCAGAATTACAGTGACAAGTGTTGTGATGGTCATTTTTCAATAGTTAGATGCATATGATGGGGCATAATAAAAAATAACCAAGAGTAGATTCTAACCTTCTGTGCATCTTCATGTCTCTCAAAGCTGACGAAGCCAAATCCCTTAGACTTGCCACTGTCATCAGTCATAACCCGGATACTTAGTGAAGGTCCTTCAAATTATAACAAATAATCAAAACATTTTACCAGCCATATCACACCATTAACCTGCATTATACAAACATTATGAGTCTCTGAAATGTATCATTGTCATACCATATTGGTTAAACAACTCCCTCAGCTTCACGTCATCCATGTCATCCCCAAAGTTCTTGATGTAAACATTGGTAAACTCTCTGGCACGGGCTCCAAGCTCAGCCTCCCTTTCTTTACGAGACTTAAAGCGTCCAACAAATCTGTTGATTGAATAATGTGAATATTGTAACAATTAACACATATCAAGACCATTACCGCACCCCAGCAGATAATTGTTTTGCATAACTTGTTAACATTATTTTGACACCTTCATAATTGTTGCTGTATGAACAGTTCATTCAACATAATTAAATTTGAGTATGAAACCAAGATGCAGTTAAACATAAACTCACATTAGTTGTATAAAAAAAAAAAAAAAATCACAGGTTAATGTGAATACCCCCGAAATATGTGAGACACAGGTAAATTGTGGTCACACTTACACTTTTCTGTCATTGAGCAACATGCCATTCATTTTCTCAATGGCCCGCTCAGCAGCCTCGTGGGTCTCAAAGTGGACAAAGCCGTACCCCTTTGAGCCATTCTCATCACAAACAACCTTGGGAAATGGAAATTAGGCATGTCAACACAATCACAACACCGTCCATTTGAAAAACAATCAGACTCACACAATCAGCTTCCATCTGACAATGTTTAGTCATGCAAACTAGTGGACTCTATGTAAAGCACTTGAACACAAAACAGAGGCCATCCAAATGCATGTCGCCCCACCTACCTTGCAAGAGAGGATGTTTCCAAATGCAGAGAAGGTGTCATAGAGTGCTTTGTTATCAATAGACTTGTCCAGGTTCTTGATGAAGATGTTGCCCACACCACTTTTTCTTAGGGAGGGATCCCGCTGAGACCACATGATGCGGAGTGGTCTGCCTTTGATTACATCAAAGTTCATTGTGTCCAGGGCTCGCTCAGCTAAAAATCAGAAACCATGATAAGACTTCTGATGACAGTAGGTTTGAATTAGATTTTCCCTATTGGAATAACTTAGGAATACAAAACACATATCTCTTTCCACCACAACGTGCATACTAAATCCCAATGGTACTAATGTAGAACTGCTGTAACATGGCATGTACAATATGTTGTCAAAATTGTGTCAGATTGGGTCACATCCCTGTCGTTGCTGTGTTATTTTATTGTAAACTTACCGTCATTCGGCTGCTGGAAGTTGACATATGCATAGCCAAGAGACCGGCGTGTGATCATGTCTCTGCACACTCTGATGGATAAGATGGGCCCAGCCGGGCTGAATTTCTCGTAGAGCATAGCCTCGGTAACGTCTGCATGCAGATCTCCCACATAGAGGGAAGCCATCGGGTAGCTAGGAGCGCTGGGATTCATGTCTGACGACGAGGGTTCTCAGGCTTGTATTATAAATGTTAAATTTGGATGACACTCTTCTGCTTGTGACAGCTTCCGATATATAAATCCAATTGTTCTCAGCTATCACCTATACAAAATAAGATCCCAGACACATATTCTAGCTCTCTTTAAAGTTAGCAATGTGGGCTACTTAGCTTGATTAGCAAAATGTCGTGACCTAAACGCTGCGGCTGACAGCTCTGACAGCTCTGACTCAGTACTCTGTCCTAGTGAGAGAGGAAGCGAAATAGCTGACTGTTAACGAAGCAAATGTTCTGGTTAACGATGTTCCCTGGAATGACAACCCCTTTATAAAAGGTAAAACTAAGTAGTGGCTAACGTTAATCACCCACGCTTTCAACAATGACTCTCGCTGCTCGATAACGTGCTTCTCGTTCCGTGTTTCTTTCTTTTTCGAAGGCTGTTCTTCCGTTGCTTGAGTTGTCAAATTAAATCCTGCTTCACCGATTTTTTTTTCTTATAAAAATATGTCTGCGTGTGCTCTCTAGCTTTTGGTTTGTTTCATAATAATAAAATGTGTGCCGAGACTAGCTCTGGAGCACACCCTACGCAGACGGATTACGGGAATGATGAAAGGAAGGTCGGCGGAGGTTGTTTCACTATTCTGGTCGAGATCACGGCGCGTTCATCAATGTTGACGTCTCACATCTCGCGATAATTCATATTATATGGAATTTTGAGCGTTACAATTAATTTTTTACTAACTCGAGTCCCCAGCTTTGTTATGTCTTCAAATGTAAGGAATGTGCCCAATGTAAGCTGATTGAACAGCTTCATCCACTATCTATTTTTCAACTTATGTTAGCAGATAGACATACGATTATACGAAATAATACTCATACTAAATTTAATAATACATATCCAAATAAAAAGTATTTACATATTATTTCGGAAGAAGTGAGCCAGGATACCTCTTAAATTCTAGTTTTTTTCATGCTAGTTAATATTTAAAAATGTCACCCCATTTGAGACTAAATAGATTTTAGGGCATGTATTGTTCATCTTGAGAATGAAAGGGAGACAGTTGTTTATTTAACATCCTCCTGCAGCTGCATCAGCTCAGACAAATATCATCCACTTCGTTCAAATCAATGGTTGTTTCCATAAAGTCTGGTATGTTGGACTGTATTGCTGCGTCTGAGAATGATTAATGTCACGTAACGAATCCTAACTTAAAACTTCGCCTGCAGAAATAATATATTGCCGATCATATCAATCTAATCTGTAAAGTGATTTTGACTGATCAGTGTTCCTAAAGGCCAAATCGTCTGATAAACCAGGCATTTTAACTACAGTGTTACTTATAAGAAAAACTCACTGTAATAGCCCCTGAAATATTTTTCCTGACAATGTAACGTGCGTGAGCCATCGCACGCTCCCGCAGTAGTCGTGCTTCATCGACACAGCGAGTTTCGTTTTATGGCAGGCTATACATACATTATGTATTTTATTATGCAATCAATACAAACTTTAAACTATTTATTGTTTATCTTGCACCACCCACAGCAGCCCGTGTCCAGAGAGGGAAATCTGCTGGAACCAGGCTGTGCAGAGGATTTGCAATTGACTGCACTGCCGTTTACCTATGGGTAGGGGTTAAAAGATGCAATAGCAGCGAAATTGTCATGGCAGATAATCCTTAAAGTTTAGATTTTCCTTTAAGCAGTGGCAATTAAGCAAGACATGTAGCTTTTTGGTTTAGGATACAGACTAAAAATGCTTTAGTCCCGTGAAATAGTTGTTCAGAAATGTTTCACCCTTTCTAATTTAATTAACAAATCCTTTTGGGGGTCAATAGGATTTCTTAGTAGCAATTTTTATGAAGGTCATTAAAGGTCCAGCATACTCAGATGTGTGGCTTGAGGTCCTATATATGTTTGGCTTTTCCACCAAGAACACACTTGTATGATGTATTTAAAGGACACATTACAAAGGAGCAAACAACAACATTGAACAGGAGCAGAATGTTTTCATTATTCTCATAAAGTAAGGTGACTTGTTCTCCTCCTCCCAGACCCAGACAACCATTCCTGAGAGCGGAGTGCAATTCATTTATACTAGACTTTGAATAATATGGCTGCTGGGCCAAATGAGACTAATAGTTGGAACTTTTAAATAATTATTTTATTCCACTTGCATGAAATTACACATTTCCCCCCAAATAACAGCTATGCTTGGGTGTTCTGTATGAAAATTCCAAAGACATGAACAAAGCTTGCCTGCCCAACAACAACCATCCTTACAAGTCTACAAACTACTTCTTACCAACATGCAGTTAAGGCAAGTATCGAAAGGAAACCGAGAATAAAAGACAAATCAAATAAAAATCTAAATTTGAAAAAAGCAGTAACTAGATAAGGACTTTTTCTTACTGCTGTGCTCATAAAAACAATATCAAGTTTGTGTGCTTTTTTGTTTTTAAATTTTTTCTATACCTCGTAATTGACACAGAAATACAAAAGCATGTCACCCAAAAACAAATACAAATAATAAAGAGTAGAAAGTTGAAACTGACAGTTTATGGAATGTTACCTTTGTGTTTCAACAAAACCTTGCCATCTGTCTCCTTTACACCTCCACCGGTCCCAGCTGCTGTCTCCTAAGGTGTAAGGAGCTGACCCCTGATTTTGTGAAACCCCAGATGTATCATCAAAAGATGGTGTTAATGAAGAACAGGAGCTTCAAAATGAATATGATACATACAGCTGCATGTTTCATGAGTTAAGAACTTCCCCTTTCACCCAGCACCTCAATAATGCAACACCCCCATTTCTCCCACACAAAAAAGGTCAGCTGACAAGCAACCAACCCTAAACACCCTTTATGCTTTCACCAGGACCCTCACATCACGGATTTAAAACCTGCCCTCCCTCCCCATCCCCCTTCCCATGCAGTTACTAAAGAAGGAATAGTAAACTGATAGGAATGAGAAAGGTGTTGAGGGGACTCAATATAAAAAAGATGAAGAATTGGAAACAATGTGAATAATGTGGTCGTCTCAGTGTTGATAATCATGATGAAGATGAACCGGAATGATGGCAGGCAGACAGGGATGAGTATGGGGGTCAGGCTCATTCTGCTGCTTCTTGTTCCTCTTCGGCCTGGTTATCAGAAGTCCACAGCTGAAAAAAGAAGGTAAAATAGTAGGTAAAGGAAAATAGGGACACACCCATTAACACCTCATCTTAACATGTTCATTTCATTAGAAAGTTCAAAGTATCGCATTCTACTCTCCAGTGACCAAAAAAAGAAAGCCTGTGCGAGTGCCTGTTTTTCCTGGCCACGGTCAGGGTCCTTGAACACAACATGAGCCTAACGTGTGATCACGTGACAGGGCTGTAGTTCTGACAGAGAGCACCAGAACGTCGCTCTGGCACTTCAGAAATTGCAGTACCCATAAGGAGTCGTACACATGCTGCCGTTTTTGCGTGGCTGTGTCTTTAGTTGTAAGCCCAGTAGTGATCTGTTCATCTGTCATACTGATCACACAGTCAATAACTTTGTTGTTATTACCATCTGGTTAGCTAGCTATGCTAATGAATATAAGAAGCTTTTTCTACAACCAGTGAGGTAAAGGCACATCTTTATATGATCATTATAGTTATAAAAAAATAAAAGAAGCAAACAGGTATAAAATACTATATGACAGTAAAAAAAAGTTGTTATTGATAAACAAAAATACAGTTTGAAAGGAGAGTGATTTGTAAAATATCCATAAAGAAAAAGAAATCTGCTTACAGTTCTGTTTCATATGGGTGTTGAGAGATGTATCCATAGGTCTCCTAATGTTGCTCTCAAAGTGCACCAGATTGATGCTTTTAACTGCCAGTTAAAAAAAACCCGGACCCCCCTAGAGGAGGTTAAGCCCACCCCCCACTTAAATCATGTCCACATGGATAGGAAACTAAATACATTTGGACACATCTTGTGTCTATATCTTTCTGTTTTGGCGGTCATGCATGCGCGAGTCATGGTTAGATATCTGGATTAAGAGGATGCTTTTTCTTTGCACAGCATGAAAGAAAGGCCAAATGAATGTGCTGTGATTTTAGTATTTTTAATCAGAGGTCAATCATTTGTACAGCCCTTGGAGGATGTTGAAAAAATTGAAATGGCCCTTGAGAGGAAAAAGGTTCCCCACCCCATGCTGTATTGAGTTCATAAAAATTGCTTTCGGGACAAATCCAACTAGCCATGCTTAGTAGGGATGACCGATGCATTCGCCAATGTTCTCCCCATGTACTAATGTGTTAATAGGTTTTACTGTCATGTTACTTAGCAATGTTGAAGAGGACGCGGTAATCCTTTATTTTCTGTTATGACGGACAAAATCTAAAGTCTGTTTGTTATTTTAAAGATGACTGATGGCAGTCTGCTGTACGTTTTGAAGTCATTAATGTCGCAGTTCTCTCCTTCCTCCCAGTGAGGAGCTGCTGCTGCAGAACAAGCACATGCTGCAGAATTGTGTCCGTATGAAGCACGTTTATCAGAATCAGTCAATTACATGCCCAGTTCAGAGAGTATTCTATAATAATAGTTGTGATTAGAGATGTCCCGATCCGATCACGTGATCGGGGATCGGAGCCGATCACGTGATTTTCAAAAGATCGGAATCGGGAGGAAAAAAATCGGGGATCGGGATCTTTTTTCTTTTTTTTTAAAAATACTTTATTTATTTATTTTATTCAATGTTACAAAACAAAAATGACCATGTTCAAGTCTTAAAGTCATCCTGAGGCCTTAGTTTTGGTTTCAAATTACACAACATCATGTATGTGTTGCTTCTTTGGGGCTTGTTTTCATAGACCTATTTCTCTCAAATCTGGCAACAGAGTGGGCAGGGCGTAGTGTCTAATTGTAGCAGTAAGCTAACGAGTACTGATAAGCTTTATTTTGTTTTGATCCAATGCTGCACAACTGAACTGATCCAATGCTGCCTTTTGAAAAAAAGAGCTATATCCATGTTGGATAGAATATCTAATTTAAATAAAAAAATAACCTTAAGGGACAACTTGAATGCTTTTTTTCTTTTTTTTTCTCTTAATGCATTGCATAAAGATCAGATCGGGAAAAATCGGTATCGGCAAATTGTCAAAATCAAATGATCGGAATCGGATCGGGAGCAAAAAAAGGTGATCGGGACATCCCTAGTTGTGATGATGGAAATGTAAAACTAATGACATTTTTTTTGTATTTAATACTCAACCCATGTTTGTATAATTGAGTAAACTCTGTGTGGGCTCTAGGCGGCAAGCAACATAACATACCTGAACTGGTAAAATTACTCGTAGCTTGGGCAACGACAGCTAGGAGATGGGCAGTTCCAAAAAGTGCATTTCTCTGCCTGAATATAGTGCACTTGCGCCAGATGTTTGGACAGATTGCTTGTGTTTCCGCCATTACACAAAAATCCCTTATTGCACTTGTAGCAACGAGCATTGTCCAAATAAAACTTGTAAAGTGTAACCACACTTCAATTCTTAGTGTCGCGCATCGCTTGTAAACATTGGTAACTTCTGCGCTCGAAGTTCAAATTATTTTAACTTCGACCTAATTGGTGACTTTTCACCACACAACCAATCAAACAACAGTTGCATGAAGAGGCGCAAGCTAGAAGGGGGAGGTATGCATAGAAACGGAACTTACATGCTCTGTGGTCTAACCTAGTGGTGAGCAAAGAGCAAATTGTGTATCATGTGAATGCAGCTTTGGTGAACTGCAAGGTGCTTATCCACATTTTTTAATCTTATTGCAAATTGGAAATGGAGTTGATGAGATACAACGTGCAAGATATTGTTTATGACATTTCTCCAGTACCAATAGCAAAACCGATAACATTGAAGCTTATGGATACCACGGTATTATAATAATTTAGCCCCAAAGCCCATTTACTACCGGATTTCAGTATTCATCTCTACAATAGGGTAAAAGGCTCCTGTCCTCATACATGGGTAGTTGTTGCATTGCACAGTCAACAGGAAATTATTTCTAGACAGAAATATCATTTCATTTCATTTAATGTTATTTTGAAATGCTTTGAGCGTGATAAACTTCTACACTGCAAATTATTTATACAGTGTATGTCGTTTGAAAGACTCCAAAAAAGTTACCAAACTCTAAACCGTAATATTTCTGGTCACAGATTGTCATGGGGTAGTAAGCCCCACCTACTCAATCAAACATAATGAACCATGAATGAATGTTGTTAAATTAGAGCTACAACTGAAAAATGATATTCAACCATTTTGATAATCAATTACCTTAAATTATTCTATAATAGTTAAGTGAATCTGTTATTCTTTTAGACTGAAAGTTGGAAACATTACCATTGGTTCTAGGAAGCTGTAATCGCATTTAAAAAACAAACAATTGAGAAAATAAATCAAGACTAATCAATGAAGAACATGACAAATTGCACACGATATGTAGATGTCATTTAAGTGAGTTTGTGTCCAAGCAAGGGAAACTTACTGTCAAGTTGTCCCTCAGTAGCTGCATGATTAGTGTACTGTCCTTGTAGGAATCTTCGCCCAGTGTATCCAGCTCTGCAATGGCCTGATCAAAAGCCTAACAGATTCAAAAATATGTTTTAGACTGCTGTAAGGATGGTGATCTTAAACAAGCTCTTAAGTGTCAGTACACTGTTTTAGCTCAATAATCAAAACATATTACATTCAATCATTTGCATTAAATTAAACAGGTTGCCATCTTGTATGAACATTTAGTGTTATGAACGCACCTCTTTAGCCAGCTTGCAGGCTTCTTCAGGTGAGCCGAGGATCTCATAGTAGAAAACAGAGAAATTGAGCGCAAGACCAAGACGGATTGGGTGGGTTGGGGGCATTTCCTCTTTGCTGGTGACATAGGCGGCTTCGTAGGACGATCTTGAGTTTGCAATGATTTCATCTGACAGAGGACAAAAGGCACATAAGAGCTGTGATATCTTATAACAGACACATGAAATATCCAATTATTTGTATTTAAATGAAATAAACCAGTGTTATGATTATTATACATTGTAGAACACTCTACTATACATACCCTATATATATATACATACCCTATATATATATATATATATATATCAAATTAATCACGGCTTAAATATAAATTAATCATGATTAATCACCATTCGAACTATGTCCAAAATATGCCATTTCTTTATGTATATTGTTGTGGGAATGGAAAGATAAATGAAAGAAAGGCGGATATATATCCATTTAACATACAGTATGCATGTATGTTTATTATAACATTGTTCTGTGTGTCAAAATGAAAGACAGCCCACACACTTATCAATCATCAAAACATGGGGTCTTATTTCATTACGTGTTGATTTCTATCAACATGTAATGTTCTCCAGTGCCGGTTGGCGTAGTTTTGGCACAATTCCGTTGTACAGACTGACGTTAACAGCAGCCCTGTCTGTGCACACGGACACCGACTCTGTTGTCCGGTGATCTAACCGCCTTCTGGAAAAGCTTCACAAGTACGTCGGTACGCGAATGCGCTTTGGGACACAAGTGAGGGTACGCATTTCAGATTGTTGCCGCACATGCGTACCAGTTAAGTGCACCCCTGTACTACAGCAAAAGTATTCTCCGTCGGGACTTCCTCCAACAACACCACGCCGTTATCTTGAATCTGATTGACCAGAAGGCCATAGACTGTATATATATTATATATACTATATATATATATATATTTATATATATATA